AGAGCCAATCTGGAAGTGTCTACAAAGAATGCAAAAGTCTGGTCTCTCGAGGATCCTGAACCTACCAATCCCAACCAATTGAAATCCACAACGCTAACCACTACACCACCTACGCTTTCGAAAGCTGTTAAGCCAAGCGCACTTATGAAACTTCCACAAGCTCTACAGCACATAACACGTCACCACTACGACAAGTTCCCACTTTGTGACCAAACTTCACACCATAAAAATTTTTAACGTCATCTTCGAGTGCAAGTGGAACGAATAGATTTAGATTTGTGGATTCTTCCCATTTCCACGCGTGAAATGGTGCCGTTGCCTCACTTACCAGAATTAGAGTGCCTTGAAGGGGCTGTTCTGCGCAACGCTTTTCACTCCCACACTGAGCATCTGCTTTTCACGGGTCTGGTAATACATTGGTTTTTCCAGACTTCCCAGAACTTTTCTGTCAACTTGATCGAAGTTTTTAGGCCAGCGCTTGCATGGCTTCTCAACACGCCAGTTTCTCTTCAGGCCATGTATAATCCTGGTCTTGGTCCTTGCTTAATGATGACAGTATTGGATTTGATAAACGGATCTCATTTTATAGGAAGTCCATCGGCTGTGCCGGCAGTCTGGGTATGCCTCATTACGTGCTGATTACTAGAGCAGTACATCTTGAATTCGTCATGAACAACACAGTTCAAATTCAACACAGTTCAAATTTTAAATAGTATGGATGAAGTTTGACTCTTTTCATCAATCCGAACAGCGATATTCACAGAGAAGTGAACTTCATTGGAGAATATCTTCAGTTTGTGAGACAACAGCTCTTACTACTAAAACTTTCGAGATGTGCGGAATGCATTCTAGTGAAATGAAATGTGGCATAGCTGTGTAGATAGGGATAAAGGATAAAAATAAAGCATTTGCCGTTGATCAATCCCTTTTGGGATGCGGCACGCATTCTACTTCCATTTGTACATTCGTAGTGGCGTTTGAATGCGATGTGGCCTATACAATGACTTGCGGGGGCCAGCCGATGTACAAGTCAGTGTTTTTATCCTCCCAGACAAGTCTGGTACCAATTAACCGACCCCGGAGGGATGGAAGGCTTGGTTGGCCCGGGCGACTCACGACCCAGGATTTGATCCCCGGACCGCTCGCGTGGTAAGCGTGCCACTTGCCACTACACCACTTCCGCCCCGTAGATAGGGATAGTGATAATAATTCCTCAGTACATGAACAAGCTGCTTATGAAACCCATCATGAACATGTTTGAATTCACTTTTGTCTCGTCTCACACTAGCGAAGAAACCTTTTGGTCAACACACCGAAGCCATAACAAGAATAGAAATACTTAGATCTCATGGTCTCGCCTTGCAGAAATTTATAATGCTAATGGAGGAAACAAATGAATTGAATCACGCCAAAAAGGGCAGTAAGATGTGAAAGAGAAAAAGCTGTATTGTCGATATCATTGAATTATCATACCGTTCATTTTCACATCCTTCACAGAAAAAGTCCTTCATGTACTATTATAGATCATTTGATTAGGTAGTCGAGAGGTGTCCACGATAGGGCAATCGCGTCGCAAGAGGCCGATTTTGACTGTATTCCAGTGTGTAGGTTATCGTATCATAATTT